GAGCTCGCTGGCTCGCCCCGCCCAGGCCACGTCCCGGCCCCTCCCCCGCGCAACCGACCGTGCTGCCTTCTCCCGATGAAAGGAGCTCATTGGGCCAAGCGCACGTCCTTCATGCCGCTCCCCGCGTCTGATTGGTCCGTTGGGGAGGGAAAGGGGCTGCATCTCCCTTTTCCTCAGTCAACCGCTGTTTGTCAACACACCGGCCCGGCCAACGGGATTTGTATTTGGGCCCACCCCCCGCGCCACGCTGGCCAATGGACAGCTGAGACTTCACCGCCATCCCCTCCGATTAGTCCGCTTGACTCTCCAGACCCACTGCTGATTGGGCGAGAGTAGCCCGGCGAATGGGGTGCGCGCTTTCTCCGCCCCTTCCCGATTGGCCGGGGTTGGCGCTTCATACGTGGCCGATTCTGAGTGTCGAGAGAGGCTGTCTCAATGAAGCAGCCCGGGAAGCCCCAAGAGGGGAGGGGAGAAGGGGGGGGACCTTAAAGGGCCCGCAGCCTTCGCGTTCCAGGAGCGGAATGGACTCACCCGCTGGCTGGCAGGGGCCGCCCCACCACGTGGGGGGTGGGACTGGCAGCCCGGGCCAGGTTGCGGAGCATCGTGAGATTGGGGTGTGTGCCAGAGTGGACAACCTTTTTGGCTGGTGCACCACTAATTAGGGCTGGACCCTCCAAGTGCCACTCTGACCCCTTTCCCTGCCAGATCTACTGCTCTGCTTTCTGCTGCTCCACCTGCCTAGATCTGCTGCTCTGCTTTCTGCTCCCTGCCTTGCTTTGCCACTTCCCACTCCCTGTCTGATGTGCTGCTCTGCTTTCTGCTGCTCTACCTGCCTAGATCTGCTGCTCTGCTTTCTGCTCCCTGCCTTGCTTTGCCACTTCCCACTCCCTGTCTGATGTGCTGCTCAGCTGTCTGCTCCCTATCCCATTCTCCTACTTCTTTTGTTCTCCTTCCTGTCTTTGCTGCTCCTTTCCCTCCCCGCTGTGGCACAGGCAGAGGCTGCTCCCCCACATGACCTGCATGCTATAGGCTGGCCATCCTGCCTGTAGGCAGAGGTCACTTGTCCCATCCCCACCCCACCCCTGGACTTGTACTTGGATGTGCAGAAAGGGGAGCCCCAAGGACTGAACGGGCTCCTCTTACTGCAGCATCACATGGGACATCATGCCACATCACCCGTCTCTCATGAGCGTATCACCTTTCCCGGCTGTACACCCACATCTTGTTTTTGACTCTACACATACTCCCTTTTTGAGTGGGCCCAGCTTTATCTGTAGGCTTGACAGTTCCATTTTTAGTGTCAACAGCCAAAAAAATATCTATCTATCCATCTATCAATGTTTATTTTTAAGAATTTATTTAGATTTTTTTTTGTCAATTTTAAACTTTCAGGCTTGCACAAAATTGGGGGAGGCAGACAATTTAGTAATGAGTGACACTACTGTTAAAAGCTTTAGAAAGGGGGGAAAATTGCATCAAACTGTAAGACGTAAATATCCATAAACTAGCATACCTGCTTTAAATCATCCTGTTCATTTATCAGGAAAGAGTTGGGCAGGCAGCACTCCCAGAGCTCTGGGAATACAAGGCAGGGTGGTAACCACCCTTGATCTCAGTATTCAGCTAGCCCTGCCTAGGCAGGACCTATCTACCCACTAGTTGGGTAGGGGGTTGTTTAAGTAGCCTGTTATCTCCCTCCAGCCTACTTCCCTGCACCTGTGAAGGAGCAACTAATTGTGTAATTGGTGAGTCATTAGGCCAGTACCAGCAGCTAATTGCTTGATTGTCAACTCATGATGCTATCTGCAGTTTAGGTCTTTAACCCCTCTGCCCCTCCACCCTCTGTCTCCACTGCTGGCAGGGGTAAGGGTTTCTTGTTACAGTCGCCCTTCTATATATTTCGGTTATTACCAATGACAATATTTTTCTGTGGGTCTGAGAGTGTGAAGTGGAACTGATGTTTATTGGTAAAAATTGAATCCTACTAAGCCTATTCATACTTGATGCAGATCCTTCTGAGGGGGCTGGGGTGGTGCAGGTGCTAAGGTGCACGATGAACAGCCCAGAGATCGCAAGTTGGAGGCTATGCAGAAGTGCTTAGATTCCAACAAATCTGCACATTCTGCTAAACACCTTGTCACAAGGACAGAAAAAGGACGATCACTCTGAATGGCTGTCCTCTCCACACCCTTATTTACCACTCCACTGATTTTTGCTTCATTTCCTGATCCTGCTGCTTCCTTGCTGAATCAGGAATGTGATGCAGTTGCAAAAGAAAGCAAATGTTATTTTGGGCTACAGCCATACGAATATTAGCTTTAAGACACGGGAGTTGATAGTACCACTCTATGCAGTACTGGTTTGGCTTTATCTAGACCAGCATTTCTCAACCCATAGGTTGTGACCCAAAAGTGGGTTGCAAGAATATATGAAAGGGTGGTGAACAAACTTAAAAAATGGTTTCTATTTAAAAGAGAAAAGCATAGGAAACTGGCTTTTCCCTTGCAGGCTGGCAGAGTTCCAGCCTGCAAGGGGCTGCTTGGGGCACCCCATGCCCCACACACCCACCCACTGCCCCATGCAATGGACTGGGTTCCGGGGTTGTGGGGCAGAACTGGCCATTGATGTTTACAAATGGGTCCCGGTACAAAAAAGTTGGGGGAAAAAAATGATCTAGACTATTGTGTTAAGTTTTGGGCTCCACATTTTAAGTAGGTGGAGAGGATCCAGAGGCAAGTGACAAATAAGAAAGGAGTTGGAAGGCAAGTCATACGAGGAAAGGCTGAGAGAACTTGGAGAACTATGTTTAGCTTGGAGAAAAGTAGATTAAGGGGAGATATGACAGGTTGCAAATATCTGAAAGGCAGCCATAAAGAAGAGGAAGAACAGACTCAAAGCAATGGCTTTAAATTGCAGCAAAGCAGATCTGTATTAGATCTCAGGAAAAACTTCTTTACCTACAGAAGAGTAAGGCAATGAAATAGACTGTTCAGTGTAGCGGTAGAATCTCCTTCACTGGAGATTTGCAGGAGGAAGCTGGATAGGCACTGCGCAGGAAGGATTTAGGAGCAGCATTACTGCATGTGTGCAGGGTTGGACCAGGGAGTTTGAATTTATCTTTCTAGCAGGAGTGCAGTGCTATGATCGAGTCCAAAGTGAACTTCATTATGTATTAGTGCTGTTCAAATACCTCTTCTCTGCCGTGTCACTTGTTTACAGATCAATGCCAGAGGGCAACAAAAAGGAACACATTTCAGAGTATACCCATGCTCCAGTTTAGCCAAACAAGGTTCTTTGGGTAAATCTGTTATCTTTTACTAGGTCAACTCAAATAGTTGGAAAAAAAATCTTTTTTTGCAAGCTTTTGAGCACAAACACCCTTCATCACTTAGCCTTCAATCATGGCTTGTGATTAATTCCTTTGCTGCATTGGTTTCTGGGAATCAACTCAACAGTTCTGATTATTCATGTCCGTTTGGGTAGGCAATAACAGACCCAGTGACAAAATCTTACAGCTATCCCCCATTTGTATGTATCCATCTTAGGTCTCTTGTTTTATATGAAAATTGTAAGATCATTTGGCCACGGTCCATGTTTAGTTCTGTGTTTGTATAGTGCCTAACACTCTGGGGCCCTGCTCTAGAATTAAATCTCCTAAGCACTGCAGTTATGTGAATAATAATTAATAACAGTAATTTAAAATCTATTACTTTTCTCTTCTGACAAGCGAGTTATAACAATTCTGACAATGATATAGACAAGTTGTTAAAAACACCACTTTTAGAATACACAAGACACAAAATTATGCACCATCAAAACTATGCCAAGAAAATCTAAAGCTTCCTGCTGTGTCATACAGATTCCCCATTCAGTTGCAGCTGAATGAATTATATGAGACCTACGTTTGCCAGGGATAGTATTAACTTAATATCTGGCCAGTCATTTATTTGGCTATAACCTGCAGGCTATAACTTGTATTTGCAAGAAGCTGAGCTCGGCCTGAAAGGAATTTTCCATCTATCATGACTTCATGAGGTTTAATGAACTCTTTTAGTGAGGAACCTGCTTTTTATAGCTAATAAATCTGGGGAGTGACAATAGTAACATGCCATCTTGTGGCCTCTCTGTCTTACAACAAGCGTAAATTAAATGATCACCGGTAATTAAACTTGAAAATCTCATTCTTTCTGGTGACAAGAATGAACGTGAATCTAAAAGATGCTAATTTAATGGGTGCTTCCCATCCAGAAGATCTCAGACATACTATACATATAAGAATCACTTTGCACACAAATATCACTGACGTGTAATTTTTTATACAGTGCCATAGATCAAAACACTATATAACACAGACAGAAACTGAAAAGGTGTTATCCAAAGGATACGTTTCTAAATCTGATAATGCAGCATAAAATTTTAATTGGGCAGAATGTAATTACCCAGACTGGTGTACGACTAGGGTATTAGGCTTAGCGACAAGGACAGCATGAGAATGAGTCCATTTAAAAGGTCTTTGACACTGTCTCTCACCTCATTCTCATTAAGAAATTAGGGGACTGTGGTGTTGATGCCTACGTGGTCAGATGGGTCGCAAATTGGCTGGAGGACCGCACCCAGAGAGTGGTGGTGGATGGGTCTTTTTCCACCTGGAGGGATGTGGGCAGTGGAGTCCCCCAGGGCTCGGTCCTCGGGCCCACACTGTTCAACATCTTCATCAGGGACTTGGATGAGGGAATGAAAAGCATCTTGTTCAAATTCGCGGATGACACTAAAATGTGGGGAGAAGTGGGCATGCTGGAGGAGAGGGACAGGCTGCTACTAGATCTAGACAGGTTACAGGGGTGGGCCGATGAGAATAGGATGGGTTTCAATACTGACAAGTGCAAGGTACTGCACCTAGGGAGGAAGAACCAGCAGCATACCTACAGGCTGGGGAACTCCCTTCTCGTCAGCACAGAGGAGGCAGAAAAGGATCTTGGAGTCATTATTGATTCCAAGATGAACATGGGCCGCCAATGTGAGGACGCAGTCAGGAAGGCCAACCGTACCTTGTCATGCATCCACAGATGCATCATGAGCAGGTCCAAGGAGGTGATCCTCCCCCTCTATGCGACACTGGTTAG